TGTAGGAGCGCTCTGAGCTCCTGAGGTTGAAATAAAATCAACTCTGACCAAAAAAGCGCCCAATGTCATTTGCATTTTTTTCCATTGTCCAATCGAATCAATGGAGAGGCGGGCTTTCCGTTGTGGTGACAGTTGCTTTGAACGTCTGGAGACTACAAAGATGGAGGAGAAACTTGTGGTGGGTGTCGAAGGTTACCTGGAGCTGTATTTATTATTATTTTTTTTTTAAAGTTTCTGCTAATATGACAGTTTACTTAACATCAAACCAAAGATTTTATGCGTCATAAATAGAATGCAGCAGCAGTTTTCTGTCAGGGATTTGTCGTGTCGCGCCACGCCGCATCCAGTGTAGACAGCATACACTGATTATAATGAGTTCTATAGTATTTTGTCGGGCCGCTTGCGTCCGGTGTAGACACGGTGTAACATTGGTTTTGCTTTATTTCACAGAACTAATTGTTGCCTGGGTTGCGTACTTATGTGTGGGGTGGAGCAATCAAAATAGGGGCGAGACCCTTATAGGGTAGGGGCGTGTTTGTTTTGGTGATTTGAAATGTCAACATTGGCTACCAGAAATCACTTACCCCACCTTTAATGTGTTTGTGAGGGGGGCGTGGTAAATCGAGGGCTGCAGCGGGGGAACAAGTGGGGAGACAAGCGGATAAGGAGGTCAAGTACATGATAACTAACACTTCCAGTGATTGGTGGAGAGACACGATTTAAGCATCTATCAGACATGGGACAGAGAGAGAGAGAGAGGCTCATGCAACACGAATGCTGTTTGGACTGGGATGCAATCGTTCACCCCTGCCTGGAGTTATGGAAGCTGTGGGTTTGGCCTTTGAGGGGGCCCAACTCATAGACTCCAGTCTCTCAACTGAGGTTGTCGAGACCATACTCCATTCCAGACCTCCCTCCACGAGGAAACTGTACTCCTTGAAGTGGATTGTGTTCACTTCATGGTGCAGAAGTCATCAGCTCGTCCCAGTTAACTGCCCAGTTGGTTCGGTTTTGGAGTTCCTGCAGGGACGGTTCTCCACAGGGTTGACCCCCTCTACCTTGAGGGTGTATGTGGTGGCCATAGTTGCTTACCATGCCTCTTTGGGTGGTCAGTCATTGGGAAGAAACCCATTGGTAAATTTTTTCCTAATCAAGGTGATCACCCATTGTCTATAAAGAGAATCTCATTAGGTTTGTGCCCGATGAAGACCTGATGGTAGAAACAAGTAAAGTTTTAGTAAAGTTCTTTGGAGCAGTTATATCAGTGTGCTGACATTTGTTTGTTGTTTGCCATGTTTTTTTCTTGCTCCTGAGCCCTAGTTGGGTTGTGGGATGTGAACACCTTTTTTTTTGTATTTTTTAATTTTGTTTTTGTGTCTGTTTTTTAGTTCTTTTGGGACCTCATGGGTGGAGTTTGAAGAGCTTCTCTGTTGGGCACTGGGGGAATTGGTGCCAACTCCACACCTGAACCAGTCATAAGAGAACTTTCTGTGAACAATTCCTGTGTCCAATGCCTTCATTTGGCAGGAGGGGGAGAAAATAACCACTCTAATTGTGATACTTTGTGATACTTAATGAGTACTGTTGTTCATCCCTTCATCCCGTACATGAGAATGGATTAGGTTGTCCGCCATTTCTTCTCTCCGATTTTGCTGAGTTTGCCAATCAGTGTCTGGCTGCTGCTGCAAAAGAAGGTTTTAACCTGCTGAGGCAGAGGAAATCTGGGGCTCCTGAATGAAATTTACTTTCTCTCCATCTGACAGTCCAGTAAGTCCCAGCCAAAGAGCTTGCTCACGACCACTGCCAGGCCTATGCTGCAACTGCAGCTCTGCACAGCACCCGTCAGTGCATCACTGTCATGATATGTGGTGATACTGATGCTTCAGTGATTGGTCATGCCAAGGCAATATCCAGAGTGAAATACCAAATGAACGATTAAAAGAAAACCTGTATGGAAGAACTGTAGAGAATGCTCCGGTTACTAACGTGTAAAGGGTTACCTTTGAGTATGAGAGTTACCTTTCGATAGGGAACGCTCTGGTTACTAATGTAAACTCAGTTCCCTGAGAAAAGCGAATGAGCGTTGCGTAACTAGATGCTATAAGCTGTAGGGTTGGGTACTGAAACCCGGTACCAATATGGCACCGGTACCTATGCAACCGGTATGTACTAGAACCGAATCTGAACGCAGATTTCGGTGCCTCATTTCGGTGCCATGCCTGAGCGATCGATTGAAATATTTGTCCTCTGGTTCTCCGAAATGGACGTAAGAAGCATCATCACTGGCACCACACGTGAAAAATAATTTCCCGACTGAGAAAATGCACGTGAACTCTAGTCAGAAAGCTCTAATAATACAAATCCAACACATCTTTGTAGTATGTACTACATGTTACGTATCCGGTCCATGAACTTCCGTCTGCTAGCCATCAGAGGTCACCCTTTCCATTTTCATTGACTCTCGCACGACACACTGTTGCATATCACCCCGGACTACATATCCCATCATTCATTGCACTGATTGCACACAGCACTGATTGCACACAGCTGTTTCATATTACTCACTCCCTATTTAACACTCACTCTTATCCCTTCCCTCTACTTATCGACCACGCCCTTTTTGGAATACTCTTCTGTCTTGCCCTCATCATACCTGTTTGCCATTGTTCGACCCTGCCTGTGTTTCTGACCTCTTCTGTTTTAATAAAGCTCGCACATGGATCCGCACGTCTCACGTCTCGTCAGCCCCGTTACACTACACATCATGTAGTAGTGTCCATGTTGTTTTCACATTCCAACTTAAAAGCACAAGCAGCAAATGCTCTAGCATGGTCTGGTCAGTCATCTCTCATTATTCTCGACCTGTGATCAGTCAAAGCTGACTCCGGCAGCTCTTGTTGGATGCAGGGTTGCCAAGTCTGCGTTTTTTCCACAGAATTGGGCTACTTTTAATCTGTTGCCATGGGTTGATTTTCCCAAGTGAGTTAAAGCTTTGAAATATTGCATAAATTACATTTGACTGAAATGCTTGTATTGAAACATTTTGCATTCTACCTATGATAAATAAATTAGGGTGACTATACGTCCTCTTTTCTCCGGACATGTCCTCTTTCTGGACCTACAAAAATGTGTCCGGCCGGGATTTCTTAATTGCCCAAAATGTCCGGGATTCGGCTGTTTTCTTAACGGTGTATTTAAATATTGTTGAATGAGCGTTTGCGCTGTTTACTTTCACTTTCGATTTCGCAATCACACGCACTCTGTGTAAAGGGAGCACATCTTACAAGATCATATATTTGTCAATGAGCTCAGCATCTGTTGAGCAGCAAATGCTCTAGCATGGTCTGGTCAGTCATCTCTCATTATTCTCGACCTGTGATCAGTCAAAGCTGACTCCGGCAGCTCTTGTTGGATGCAGGGTTGCCAAGTCTGCGTTTTTTCCACAGAATTGGGCTACTTTTAATCTGTTGCCATGGGTTGATTTTTCCAAGTGAGTTAAAGCTTTGAAATATTGCATAAATTACATTTGACTGAAATGCTTGTATTGAAACATTTTGCATTCTACCTATGATAAAACTTTCATGGACTTCTACATTAACTGTTCCCTCCTGGTGGAATGACCTGCCCAGCTCAATCCAAGCTGCTGAGTCCTTAATATTTTCAAGAAATGGCTGAAAACACATCTCTTTCATCTTCATTTGACCCTCTAACTCTAGCACTCTCTATTCTAATGCTACTTCTAATTTTATCTGCTTGTTTTTTTTTTATTAAAAAACTTGACCCTCTAACATTTGCACTCTCTATTCTATTCTAAAATTCTAAATTCTATTCTAAAAAAGAGCCTCTAACACTAGCATTGTCAATTTTTTCTCTATTCTTTCCACTTATTTTCTTTTTTATTTATTATAAATAATGACCTTCTAACACTAGCATTATCTGTTCTTTTTCTGTTCTATTTAATTGTTTTATTTTTATTTAAAAATGACCCTCTAACACTAGCATTATCTGTTCTTTTTCTGTTCTATTTAATTGTTTTATTTTTATTTAAAAATGACCCTCTAACACTAGCATTCCCTATTCTTTTTCTATTCTTTCTACTTGTTTTCTTTTTATTTATTAACAAAAATAATAATAATAAAAAATAAAAAAAACCTTGCTACGTATACTGTTAGGTGAATCCCCGCCCACGAACCCCACCCCCTACTGTCCTTTTTCTGGAAAACTAAAATATGGTCACCCTATCATAAATATACTTAATTATTATGAAAATACCAGAGATGGCTTAAATAACACAGATAAACTATATTGTCGCAGTCGAGTGTTTATTGTCTTTGTTTTATCATTCAAAACGTTTATTTGTTCTGTTTACTCAGTTCCAGATATAATAGCGATGCCTTTGTCCATATAAGGGATTTCCTGGAGGGTCATGAGTTCCGCTACTTCTGTGACTGGATATGTGGATTTTCTGTGCGAGGGCGCCCTCTGGCGTCCAGTATGAATGAAATAGGCATCATGCGTTTATAATGCTAATGGCCAATCCATAAATTTTTGGGGGAATTTTAATTAATTAATTTCTTTATTTATTTTTTAATAAGTATCGGTTCAGGCACCGTTTAGGCACGAGAACCGTTTTAAAAGTATCGATTTGGCACCGGTATCGATACCCAAACGATACCCAACCCTAATAAGCTGCACGCGAATCGATGACTGTCGCTTCAGTAGAGTGATTCTGATGAGATGGCGCCATTGGTTTGTGCAGCTACACAAAGTGAACAAATCAGGCTTCAGTACCAGAGTAAAACAGGAGTTTTCCCATAGGTCGTCTAAGGCGACACAACGAGAGTTACCTAGGGAACTGTTCCACAACCATTCCAAGAACATCAAGCACTGTATGTTGAATAAAATTCAAAACAAACAAAAGGGAAGACAGACTGCTCTTCCAAATTGGTTTTAGAGTATGTCTGATTAAAACTTTATTAGGGAAAGTCAGACTGTATTACCTCTGGTGATGGTAGGCACTGAAGCGCCTTGTCATTGAGAGGTTTGTTGAGCAGTTTCTCCCCCAGAATTGAATGCAGCTGCTGGGCCATGATAGTCTGCTGCTCCACACAGCAGTGGTTCTCCAGAGACAGAATAAGAGGATATGGAGAAGTCTAGAAAATAAGCATATGTTCAAGTATGCATATGTATTTATTTGTTTAATGTATTTATTTTGTTATAAAGGAGAAGGAAAAAGGAAAACCACTCAAAACTGTTTAGGGAAAAATAGCATAGAAATAATGTTCTTTCTTTTTTAATGCTCATTTTATATATATACTGTATATATATATATATAGACACTACTCCTTTATCAATAATTTAAATTATTTAAACCATTTGATTTAAATGGTTACGCACACATTAGATTTTCAAATAGGTACCCAAGGTTATCTAATAAACTACTAATTTGTCTAATCAAAAAGGTCTGATGAAAAAACAAAAAAGCATACAAATACATACTTGTTTTTCTGTAAAAATATCTGAACCTGCAATTTTGCTTCTCAAGTATCTAAGGAAATTTAGATATTATTTACTGGAATACAAATATAAAAGCATCACCCAGCGAGCTGAAGGTAAAGAGCCACTTCCTGTGCTCACCCTGAATGCATATTCAGCGATGACCTTCAAAACCTCGCTAAATGGCACTTTGGATGTGAGGGTGTGTCCATGGTAAATAACTGGCTTCTTTTCCCCATCCCAGCAGTCCAGTTCCACACAGCGACAGCCTTGACTCAGAGCTCTGCACCACAAACAAACATGAACACTTTTACATTATTTGCTCAATATTAAGCCCGAGACACACTGCACGATTTTCGACTGTCCCAGATGAAAGATTGGCATCGTGAAACAATCGTGGCGATTGCTGTGATCGTGGCTGCTAATCGGTGATTTTATATCGTACAGTGAGAGAGGACATAAGAGGACATTCCTTTTTCGCCACTTCAACCAGCACACATAAAAACTATAACTGCCAAAGTGTGATTCATCATGCTCTTTTTGTTTACCCCTAGCGCATGCTAATGATGTTTTATTCTTCTATAGTAATATGAGTCGTAGCCTACGAGTCAATAGGTGTCATCATTGTTCAGTCTGCACACATGTCGTTCCCAAGTTTATCAGATCCAGTGTGATTTGCAATGATCTTATAGGATTGCTAAAATCATGCAGTGTGTAGAAGGCTTTAGAGAAAGCGGGTTTTTTTTCTGCCTTTGTGCAAAACATTTCAATAAATAGGTCATCTTGTCTAGTATGCATGCAAATGTGTATGCATTATCTGCTAAAAGGACCAGCGCTGTCTTTTTTAATATATATGTGAGCATTGTACCTGATATAAGCGTCAATGCTGCTCTCGCCAATGAGCTGGTCTTTAGTGAGGTAGGTGTTGTGTGAGGAGGAGATAAAGTAGTGACTGAGTGGGCGGCTCATGTCCTGGTAGACTCTGCCATGCTCTGGGTTATACACATCATTCTCCTTAGACAGCATGTACATAGTGAAACCATTGGGCGTCATAAACTGGTTCTTCTGGGCTGCATGGGACAGAACATAGTTGCATCTTTAGGCTCAAAAATCACAAGCCTGATAAACAATGCACACTGCAATAAAACAGGGGTTCCCTTCCGAGGGAACTTCGAACTGTGTCCTCTAGGGCTCGCTATGGGGAACGCCTTCGGCGTGACCGGTGTCTGAAGCATACATCTAAACATGACAATGATATTGGCCGGTGACAGCCTATGACATCACTACCGGCACGACCACAGTATAAAAGGGCGCCGGTAGAATACATCATCCTCTTCTTCGTCTTCACGACGGTTTGTTTGGAGTTGCATACTGGTGAGAACAGCGATTCTGTTCGTTGTTATCATGGCGAGCACTAGCACTAGCAAGGCGTTTAGGAAGTGTGTGGATCCGTGTCAGCGTTATCTGACACCCGATGACACTTGCGATCTTTGTGTTTGGGTGAGGAGCACACGCGTGACGTCCTCAAGGTGGTGGCATGAGTTCATTGCGAGTTTTTCTCCATGAGAAAGCTCCGCTCTCATTTTGGCCTTCTTTTCGAGGAAGGAGGGGCAGCCATCGGTTCCATTGGGCTCAGGACCTGCCTCTGCTGAGGCACGGAGGAAACTGAGTTCATGGGGTTCTCAGGTGGACCTGGCCGATGAATTGAAGAAGGGGCTTTCCCTTACTCGTTCATCGGTCACGGACGAGAGTGAGCTGTTGGAGGATGACGCTATTTCTCTGACGTCATCTGATCCAGCAGCTAGTGCTCTGCTGGCTCCCAGCCAGGAAGAGCAGGTGATGTTAGATGAGGATGAGGACGAGGAAGTTGAGACTGAGTCCTCTCAAACCTCCTGCCCTGCGTACGAGGAGCTGCTTGAGGTTATGGAATGCGCCACGGCAGAAGCGGACTAGGAGGGTGGCATCTCGCGGCCGGCTCGATGAGTGCTATCTTTCTGATCATAACCCTCCAGCCAAAGTGAGCCTTCCATTTCTTCCTGATCTTCATGTGGAGATCAAGAAGACTTGGAAAAATCTGTTCTCTTCGCGTGTCCACAGATTTCAGAAGTCTAGTTATGCCAACATCGATCTCGCTCTCTGTGCCACCAAGCAGACCGCGGCTGCCGTAGGCAGGTCTATGGCGGCTATGGTGGTAACGGAGAGACATCTGTGGGTGAACCTGGCTGACATCGGGACGAAAGAGAGGGGCTTTCTCCTTGATGCGCCGGTTTCTCCTTCTGAACTTTTCGGCACTTCCGTTGAGACGGTTGTCGAGAAGTTTAAGGAGGCGAAGGCGCGTTCAGCTGCTTTTAAGTCCTTCATTCCACGAAGGCCCAGGTCTCAGCCCGAACAAAGGGGTCCTGGCCCGTCTTGGTCTAAGGATCAAAGACGGGTCCAGAAGGCTAGTGTCGCAACTCGCACCCCTCCTCCACCTGCGAGCAGGTCTAGAGGACGGCGCAGGTCGAAGGCTCAGAGGCAAGACTTGAGGGAAGTAATCCAGACGAGGCATTCCCAACACTCTCGTCTGGATCAGGACGGACCACCCGCTTAGAGTGTTCACAATCTACCCTCGTCTTCCTCTCCCAATTCCCCTGTTAACCCTTTCTTTTCCTGATCAAGGTTAACCTCCATGCAACGGTATTACAGTCTCCGGCTGGACCTATGATGTTCCGGTTAGTTTCTATGTTTTTAAAAACATAGAGCTACCTACTGAAGGTCTGGGAGAGACAGGCCATGGTGGGTGAGTATGATCCATGTCTTTTAAACTGTTGCTAGTTGTATTTTTATCTGACTTTTTATGCAGCGCCATCCTGTTCTGTTTTATTGGAACATCTCAGTCTCTGCTGAGATTCCTTTATCTAACATGTCTGTTATTCTATTTAATTCCTAGATGGAAGCATTTCTTTCCTCTTCTAGTGAGCTTCGCTGAAGATGCATCACTTATGCTAACTGGCAGGATCCTGACAATTCCTGTCAAATTTCGTACTGGTTGGACTCTGACTCCGAGTCGTTAGGCTTCCCTGAGAAGCCTCCTTGTTTATCATGTCCCCAGTATGGCGCTGCAACCTCAGGACCTGCGGGCCTTTCAGGTTTTTTCTCCCAGGAGCTCATTTGGAGGCACTGTCTCCTGTCATGCTCCCTGGGCTGCTCGGTCTTGCCCTGAGGGGCTTAGGCCTGAGCTTGGGTTCAGATTGAGGACTTACCTCGGCCTGAGGCCCGGAAGCGCCGCTCTCGTAATTCCAACAGTTGATAACATCAGGTAGCTAGGCCTTTTTTGTGGCCTCCTTGGTCTATCATTTTTATGGCAAGGAGCCTGCGGCTCTCCTTTTTTGGCGCGTTCAGAGCATGGTGCTCCCCTCACTGCGGGAGGCTCATTCCAACCGGAATGGAACGTTTGTTTCTCCCCTCTGCGAAGAGTAGAGAATCTTGGAGAGCTGGGCCTTCTGCCCCTCTAGATGCTCTAGGCGGAGCCTTCAGGTTGTTAGGCCTCTTGGCCTCCCTGCAGGGCTACCTTCTTTGGTTAAGCCTGTATGTCCCTATTTAGTTCTGAGTTCTCATCTTTTCTGTTGAGTGAGTTCTCCACTTTCTGGAGTGGAGCAACTGTGGTTGAGGCCTATGTCCTTCAGGGCTTTATGGAATAGACATTACAGTAAGTGAGCTCCTGGAGTTTTCGTTGAGTAGTTGCAGGTCGTTAGGCTTTCTGCCTCCCTGTTATTCTACTCTTGTGGAAAAGAAGAGTAGACTCCTTTTTGCCTCCCTGTTCTGGCTGCTGTTTTGGTTGAGCCACGCGATGCTCCCTTCTTCGAGGGTCGTTTTGAGCATATTGCTCCCAGTTGAGCTTCTATGATCTCTTCCGCTCCCGGAGTTGGTTGTTTCTCTGCTTAGAGCCTAGTCTCTGTCATGTCAGGTGCACACGCTAGTTCTCTGTGCACTTCCATTAATTCCATATTCATCGTAGATGCGCACGCTAGGCCTTTGCGCACCTTTCTAAATCCTTTTGGTAAGGGTGACGCGATGCTGCCTCGTCCCCTTTCTCTGAGTTGTCTCAGGCCCCGGATCCTTACGTGTGCCTCACTCTCCTATGTATCTCTGATGATACTGGTACGGTTGTATGTGTTTGGAGCCATTGAGCAGCAGCCTCAGGTTGTTAGGCCCCTTTAGGCCTCCTTGTTAGGCTGCTCTCTTTGTTGGTGAGTTTAGCAGTGCTCCCCTCACTTAGAGGGTCACATATGAGCACGCTGCTCCCAGTTTGAAGAGTGACTGTTTTGGTTGAGTTGGTGATTCTCCCCTCACATGGAGGGTCTTTCTATGAGATACACCTTTTTCAATCTGCATGCACTCTGAGCATGCGGCCTCCTGCTGAATTATTGTTGGGTCACAGTCATGTAGGGTCTAGGCCTGTCTAGGGGACAGGTTTTTGGTTACCCTTTAGTAACGGTGTTGCTAAATCTATGCTATGGTAAGTGCACACACTCAGCTTCTGTGCACTTTCTAAAATCCACATTGTGGTAAGTGTGCACGCTAGGAATTTTGCGCACTTTCAAAAATCCAGTATGGTAAGGGTTACGCGCTGTAGCCTCGTTCCAGTCCATATTCATGGCAGGTGCGCACGCCAGCCTTTGTGCACTTTCTTAAAAGCCTTTATGGTAAGGGTGACGCGTTGTTGCCACGTTGTTTTCTGAGTGGCTCTGGCCCCGGTTACCTTGGGCCCCACTCTCCGCATATTCACTTTCTAGACAGGGTGTTACTACTAAGTTTCCCTGGGTATCTTGAGATCCTTGGTAGCTCATTCTTAGAGCAGGAGGTAGTCTCTGTTTGACAGGCCAGGATATTTACATTACATTTACATTTAGTCATTTAGCAGACGCTTTTGTCCAAAGCGACTTACAAATGAGAACAATGGAAGCAATCAAAATCAGCAAAAGAGCAATGATATGCAAGTGCTATAACAAGTCTCAGTTAGCTCAATGCAGTACACGTAGTAATTATTTAAAAATTATATAATAAATAAAAAGAAAAC